ACAGAAGCCAGGGAAGGAAGACAACGAGTGGACAAGGGTGAGGAGGCCTCCAACCAGGGTGCATGAATGAGCCGGAAATGGGCTCTTCATCTACACTGAGGCTGAGGGACCTCAGGAAAACAGCCTTACCAGGGCAGGCGGAAGCTGCATGTGTGCCTTCCAGTAGTATCTTGCCTTGGCTGAACACGGTCCTGCTCCTGATGTCTCCTCCAGCTTTAGTTTCAGGATGGTATCTGAGCCATGATTAGCTACTCTCCTGGTGTCTCTGATACCCCCTACACCTTTAGCTTCTATACACACACACACACACACACACACACACACACACACACACACTTTTATAAACTTTCTCAAAACCCTTCTTCTCTCTAGATAGTTCAGCCAGTGTCTGTGGTGCCTTCCGCTGGCTCTGTGGCTGGGAAGCCAGGCAGACACATCTCTGATCCAGCCATGAAGATGTGCTCCTGATCCCACCCAACGATGTGCCAAGCTAATGCCCTTACCCCAGGCAGTGTCCACTGAGGCATTGAGGATGACAAGAAGCAGTTCCAGAGAGGGCCCAGGAGATCTCACATGGGCCAGCATAGCCCAGGACCACACACATAAAGGATATCTCAGGCCAAAGGCAGGCGAGAGAATCAAGACTAGGGTCCTCACCGAGGTCCCAGTCCCAGTCTCCAGCAAGGACCCAGGGTCTGAGTTCATACCTCCTCCTTCCTTGGCCCCCTCCTCCCTTCAAACCACAGTGCCCTGAGGCCTCTGGAACGCGTGCCCAGGACCTCAGTGATATTTTGAGTTTAAGAAAACTTTGCAGTCGGCAGGAGCTCTTAAAGGTTATAAATAGCAACTGCGGGAGCCCATGCCGGGAGAGGCGGAAACACGTGTCAAATACGCCCGGGAGGAGGGTATTCCAAGGCACAGACCCCCCCCCCCACCCCCTCACACATACCCTCCCCCTCCCCACACACATACCCACACACACACTAGGGACCTACCAAGCTTCTGGGCATTTTACAACCATTGGAGCGGGAAGTCACACCCCACCTGGAAGGCGTCTAGGAAGCAAGACCCCTCTATCCCCTGAGCAGGGTCCCCAGTGGCTGGATATGTTGCCAGGGGCATGTGGGGGCACTGTTGAAAGGAGATCTGGGTGTGAGGTTTCTCCTTCCTCTCTTACACACACACACACACACACACACACACACACACACACACACACGGAGCAAGCTGGGAGCTTAGCAGCAGAGAAGTATACACAGGGCTAAGGGGGTTTTGGACAGTGCTCACTCTCATTCCGATCAACAGCTAGGAGCCCTTCAGACCAAGGGGGAAGGGGTTATTTTAAAGTCACAAGCGAGCCAGGCAGTCTGTAGTCCTGTCATCCCTAACTCTATCAAACGCTGCTTCTGCACCTTTCCATTCAGAGGGACCTTAACCAGTCCAAATAAAGTGCAACTGGGGGACTAGAGATGACAGGAAGGGGAGTCTAAAGGAGGTAAACAGATCCCAGGGCATCATCCTTCCATGGTTGCATCCCAATGAATCTGCCTCTATATATTTAAAAACAAAACAAAAAAAACAAAAACAAAAAAGAAATAAAAAACAAAACAAACAAAAACAAAACACACACACACACACACACACACACACAAAAACCAATGTCCTTTTGCTGGGCAGTTGAGGAACAGAAAGGGTCTGGGGACAGGAAGACTCCCTGTTCAGGGTGATAAGGGATGTAATTTGTCACCAACACAAAACAGGATACAAGAGACTCAATAAGAAGGTCAGTGGTCAAGGACACTCCCATCTCAGGCTTGCCTTAAAGGCCGTCCTCAGGGACCCAATCTAAGGTTAAACAGTTACTTAGGCCCCACAGATGCTGAGAGAATAGTGAGTCTCCATTACGTCACTGGATCTTCCCAACTGCCCTTTCATAGGACTGGGGTAGGAACTACTACCCCATGCAAAGACCATAGAGACGGAGGCCTGGCCAAGCCTCTACTCGCTGTCTTCAGTCCTGCCTCTCACATATTCTTGTATGCCTGCTGGGCCCTAGCGGGTCTGGGGGAGGCAGCCACACTTGGCATTCAGGCATTCTGAACCTCAGGGAGCCCCAAAGGGTTTATGGGGCTCCCAATGAATGGGAGCCTGTTGAGCTCTGAGGGGGCCCAGCCCAAGTAAACACAGTTGGGTCTGAGCTGCCATTCTCCCCCTGCCTACTTACCCAGGACCCAGGACCAAAATATGATTTCCTGTCCCCAGGCTAAGGGCCAGAATCACCCCTCTCAGCCTTAGACTGGGGCCCACTGGAGGAACACAGACTGACCTGAATTCCAGATTTTCAGATGCAAAGCTCTGCCTGCATCCAAAATGAATCCCTGGTCACACTGACTCTCAAACCTTTCATCAGTTAATGGTAGATTGGAAACTGAGGCCATGAGTAGGGGGTCCAGCTCAGGGTCACATGGATCAAGCAAAACACACCCCAGTCTCCTGCCTCATGCAAAGCAAAGAATATCAGGAGAAGGGAGAGATTCCTGAGTCAGACAACAGGGTAGCAGGGGTTTAACAGAAAACAGGGGAGCCCTTCCTCCTTTGGCTATAACAGACCACTGACCTATACAAATGAAATCCAGTACCCCTGTGACCCTGGATACAGAATGACCCATATGCCCTTGAATAGTTCTTGAGTAGCATATCCCAGAACACCTCAGTTTGGGGACAGGATGCCTATTAGAACTGTTTGTGCTGTTTGTCATGGTTTTGCTATGTGCCCTGGACAATCTACTTTGTTCTCAGGTCTCAGGTTCCCCCACCTGGAGACCAAGTATTAACAAGCTTCTTCCATTCCTTTTTAGTTTGTGAGCCAAAGTAGTACATCGGGAAGCTGGATGAGGTGGTACTTGCCTATAACCATAGCACTTGGGAGGCTGATGCAGGAAGACTGGGAGTTCAAATTCAGCCTCTCAAGCAGAATGGTTGATAGGGTGGTGCTCACACATATATAATATCAGCACCCAGAGAGCCAAGGCAAGAAGATCAGGATTCCATGGTAGTCCAGGCTACATATCAAATCCTCAGCTATAATATCCTGCATCACAAAAAAAAAAAAAAAAAAAAAAAAAAAAAAAAAAAAAAAAAAAAAGAAAAACAGAACAAAAGACATTGAGATCAAGTGTATAGTACCCACCAGCAAGAGCCCAGGAGGTCTAAGGAGAGGTGACTCCTGGAGTCAAGGGTTCTAGGAATATGCCCTGGTGACAGAAGGGTGGTTTGAAGCAGCCACCTCACGTGCTGGGCACTGGAGGCTGAGGTTGGAATGTGCTGAGCGGCAGCTGCTATGTGAATCATTATACCTCCTCAGACCCAGCCAGGGCTTCCAGACATAAACCAGCTCAGACTGGGCTCAGGCAGAAGGGAAGTCTCCAGCCCAGGTCACTGGGTCCTGGGGACCCTGGGGTGAGGTTTCTAGGATCTTGCATGGTCTCTGTGTTCCTACGTGTTTACATCTTCGCCCTCAGCATCCACTCTGGATTCTGTCACAGCCAGTTCTACAGACTCACAATGAAGGGTCAGCCTGTGTATAGGCCCCTGTCACTGTGCACAAGTAGACTCTGAGTCTGGGAGGTAGAGGAGTGTGTAGCCAGATGGAGAGGGCTTGCTGGCTGCCTTCATACCAGGAGCCACATTCCAGTGGGCAAGGAGTCAGCTAGGGGGGCTGTGAGCTGCAGGGGTGAAGAGAAGATTGGACTGAAAGAGTTCCTACATCTCTCTTAGCTGAGACCTCAGGAATTTTTTGTTTGTTTGTTTGGGTTGTTTTGTTTGATTGGTTGGTTTTTGTTTCTTCTTTATTTTCACTTACGTGTACCCTCTCTCCCTCTTCCTCCTCCTCCCCCGTGTGTGTGTGTGTGTGTGTGTGTGTGTGTATGTGTGTGCACAGATGCACACACACATGGCACATGTATGGAGATCAGGGAACAACTTGCAGAAGTTAATGCTCTCCTCCCACTATGTGAGCCTCAGGGGTCAAACTCAAGTTATTAGGTTTGTCAATGACAAATGCCTTTACCTGCTGAGCCAAAAACAAAACAAACAAACAAAAAAAACCAAAAAATCCACTTTGGTCTTTTGAGACAGAGTCGAAGGTAGCCCACCCATTCTGGCATCAGTCTCACTGTGTAGCCAAGAATGAACTTGAATTTCTGATTTTCCTGCCCCCAACTCCCCCCTTCTGGGATTTCAGTCATACCCTGCCAGGTCCAGTTTAAACGGTTCTGTGAGTTACATCCATGGGAGTCAGGTGCTCTACCAACTGTGCTACACCCCTAGTTCTAGTCTCTGTTTATATGGACTTGTGTGCATGTGTGTGCCTTCATGAGTTTATGGGCACCACATGCGTGGAGCTGCCTGCAGAGGTCAGAGGGCTTTGATTGCCTGGAACTATAGGTAGTTGCAAACCACCTGATGTGGGTACTGGGAACTGAACCCTGTACCAGTGCATGTAACTGCTGAGCTATCTCTCCAGTCTCTAGTTATATTTGAGGCAGGGTCTCACTGTATAGCCCAGACCGTCCTCATGCTAACAAGCACTCTTCCACTGAGCTGGATCTCCAGCTTGGATGTCAAGTTTTCTCCCTGGGATGTGAACATGAACCGGCCCATGGCCCCATTTTCTTTCTCAAGGTGCTTAGACCTTGAATAAAATCACTTATGGATGTTATGTTCATAGCTGGTGGCAGCCAGGGATTTCTGAGGTATAGAAAAGGGCCAGAAGGATTAGACAGAGACAGCGATAGATAAAAGGGGAATTAGTCTTAGCAAGGCTTGGAAGGCTAAGGGACGTCAACTGAGGCAGAGGCTCACTGGAGGCTGAGCTGGCCCGGTGCCTGGAAGGCAAACCCATGAGCGTTGAGGGGAGGTCCTAGCTCAGGACTTCAGAACACTGGCAGGCTTGGGGTCAGGGACAAAGTCCTGAGCCATTACAGGGCTTGGTAAAAAATAATTAATTTTTCTTTTCAAGCCAGAGCTGGGACTTGGACCGTTTCCTGTCCCCACCAACAGTGTCCTTGCTCAGGCCTGAACTGGAGACACTTCTCTGGAGTTCCATGGCCTCTCCATGGCCAACCTGAGTCTGCTCCTTAACCTGAGGCCCCATTTGAAAGGCCTGTGGATTCCCAGGTAAGTTGGACTCAGGGAGCCTGGTTAGGAGGCCTGAATCCATCTGGGAGAAAGAATCAAGGTTGTGATGGCCCTGTAGTAAGCCTTTGTGTGTTTGTGCTGTGAGCTGGATGGCCCCGTAGTAAGCCTTTGTGTGTCTGTGCTGTGTGCTGGGCAGACAAGGTATGCCTTCAAGGCCCCATGTCTGTGGACCTAGTGTCATGACATCAAGACACCTGTGACCATGACATCAGCCAGAGGAAGTCTATACCTCCAGATGCCTTTGGAGTGTATCCTGACTGAAATAAAGCCTCCTGTCCTCCTGGGCCCCATCCTCCCTCCCTTTACCTTCCTGGAGGTGAGAAAGCCAGACCCTGCTGCAGAGAAGGGGGGCTGCCCAGCCAGCTGCTATGGGAGCCGTCAGTGACTCAGCTGGGTATGGGAGTGTTTATGAGCAGCCGAAATGGCTGTAAAAATGGCACCTTGCTTCACTTATGGTCTGGCCACCCTATCCTATACTGGCCCCTTGACTCAAAAAGTTTCCAGAGGGACCTGTAACTAGAGAAACGTCTGGGATTTGAAACCTGGGAGGAGTCTCAGCCTGAGGTCAGGGTTCAGCCAACCAGTTGTAAATCAGACTGGGATAAAGGCTTAGCCTAGGGTCAGGTTCATTGTGAGGGCAGAGCAGTTTGGGACTAGAGCTATTCTTAGCTTGCAAGTGACTTTGGGGCTAAATTGAGGATGAAGTTCTGGGGAAGGGGGTTGTTTCTTGGAAGCTGATGCGGGCTAGTGGTTCCACAGAGCCTCCAGGCAGGTGACAAGGGGCTTTCTGAATGAGTAAGGCCAGAGTACAGAGCTGGAAGAACTATTCAAGTCTGATGACCAAAGTGGTCCTAGGGTCTGTGTACCTTGGCTAGAGCCCTCCTCAGAGTGACAGCAGCAGAGATGGCTGCCACACCAGCAGAGGTGGAGCCAGAGTTCAGCCACTGCTTTGGTTCTGAGTTCCAATGGTCACCTTATCTCTTCCTGCTGAGCCCAGGCTGGGATCAAAGAGAAAAACACAGACCCACTGACCCTCCATAGGGCCTGCCAGTCAAAGGGTAAGACCGGATCTTCCCGACCCTAATGTGTGCTACTAGTTAATGTGTGATCCCATCCTCTCCCCATGGTGGCAATTTAACCAGAGGCCTGGGGGTGAGTTAGGTGATCACAGTGTGGAAAGTCTATTAGGGAACTCTGGAGTGAGGTACAGGAGTTGCAGCTAAGGAAATTCCCCTAAGGGACCCAGAGACCCCATGCCAGTCTAGTAATTGATAGCACTGCCCACCCTGGGCCACCCAAGGACAAATCTTTTCTTTCTTCTGTTGTTCTGTTTTGCTTTGCTTTTTGAGAGAAGATCTCACTAAGTAGCTCTGGTGTGTAACTTGCTCTATAGATCAGGAACTCCCAGATCTGTCTGCTTCTGCCTCCCAAGTGTCAGGACAAAGGGTGTGTGCCACAAACGTGCAGCCCAAGTGCAAAGATATTACTTTGTTTTCAAGTCAAGAGCTTTCTATTGTCAGAACGAAGAACTCTGCCCTATCAGCTCTTAGATGGTTCTCCATTTTGACTGAGTTCTTCTCTCATCACCAAGGAAAAGGACAGTGGTCGCCATCACATGAAATTTGGGTCACTTAGAAACACAAATCAGAGCCTGGCAGTGTGGATCTTCCATACTTGAGCATATTGGGGGCAGGTGGGGGGCAGATGCCTTCCTTTCTCAAAGAACATGGGAACTATATAAGACAGACCTGAACTCACATCAGGCACTACCAAGGGAAGACGTGAGGACACAAGTAAAAAGGAGTGTACAGTGGGATCTTGACAAGGAAACACCAAAAACCAGACAGAGGAGTAAATGTGAGCAGGCCAAAAGTCTAGCAGACAGGATCTGCTTGGGACAGCCATTCTGAAGGAAGCCGCAGTCTTTGAACACCAGGGCAAGAACCTCAAGATCAGTGGGCACAGAAGAGGGGCGTGGCAGAAGAAATGTTTGAGGAAGACAATGGAGACCTGAAGGACCCACTGTCACTGAGGTGTGGGGCCATCCTTGAGGTGGAGAGCAGGAGATGGGGGGGTGCTGAGCTCATTTGCATAAAATGTTTATGGAGAACGCATGGGTTTGCACAAGCCCTCAAAGACCCTTTGAGTCTGTGATGTCATCTGGACATTCCCCCAATTTTGCAGATGAGAAGACTGAGACCAGGATACCGGGAGAGTCCTAGTGGGCAGGACACACAATCGGTAAGTAAGCAAGCAAGGACACCATTTAACCTGGTGGTATTTTCAGGTCACCACGCTTAAAATGTCTTCCTTCAACAGGCCTTCTGTTAGCCCTCTGCTTAAGCACTCCCTACTTCCTCTGCTGCCTGATGCTCCCCACATGGTACTCAAGGAGATGGTAGACTTGGAGTTCAAAGTCTAGAACTCTGATGTCCAGCGTGGAGTACATAAACTCCATTCCCATTACTAGCTCCCATGTCTCTCACCTTCCCCTAGTCAAGGGTCTCAGGATAGCCATCAACATTTGGGGGGAAACAACGGAGTGAGGTGAAGTACAAGAGTGGGGGTCCTAGGCTCAAATTGCCCAAATTGGGGCTAGATCGAAGAACTGGAGATGCCTGACAAGCAGCTGAATAGGACGAGATATTTTTAAATACCCGGATTAAAAAAGAAGCCCCTCTAAACAGGAAATCCAGCGAAGGTCTAGACCAAGGCAGGAGGAGCACCACGCGAGTCTCGGTCCGCTAGACCCCGGGACTAGGGATGGGACAGAGGATGAAGGACCAGTCTAGGGCGGGGCAGGACTCGAGGGCGTTGGCTGCGTAGCCTGGCTCTAGCTGGAGGCGGAGCAGCTTCCCCAGGGTCCCCACATAGCCAGAACAGAACCCCACGAATGCACGGACAGAGCCCGCGGCTCGAGGCGCGGGAAGTACTAGGCGGCCTCCCCAGTGGCTCCTCTCCTGTCGCCGTCCTCTCATTATCCAGGGCCGGAAGATCGGGGGTGGTGGGTGGTCTGTGCTTTTCCAAAGGAAAGAATAAAGCCAAAGCGGGACAGCGTCCCAGCCACGGTTCTCAGGTCCCGATGTCAGAGCTCCCTAGACTGCGTCCCCGCAACGCTCATCCTTCTACTGAAAGACCCGGGGCAGGGTCTCTAGAGAGATGTCCCGGGGTGGGGGGCAGCGGGCTCGGCTCTGTCCTCCACACACCCGCCTGGGAGGCAGTGGCGGGGGCAGGGGCGGAGGAGGCCCGGGGAGGGCGCGGGGGGGGGGAGGGGGCTCCGGGCCGGGGGGGGAGGGGAGCGGCAGACGCCGAGGCGAGGGACGCGCGAGGCGGGCGGCGGCTCGGAGCAGCGGCCGGGCGGGGGGCTCTGGAGGCCAGGCAGGCCAGGGGGGGATCCCGAGAGCTCCATGAAGTCCCCCCGGGGCTGCGGACGGGGCGCTGGCTTGGGGAGGCTGTCGGGGGGGCCCCGACATTCATGGCAAGGCGGGGGCCGCGGCGGCGAGCTCGGAGTAAGTCGGGGCTTGGGGGGTGGGAGGGTCGGGAGCGCGGGGCGCGGGAGGCCGGAGTGGGGCAGGAGGGACTCGGGGCCCGGCCAGGGCGGGCCCGGCTGCTCCGTCTCCGTGTCAGTCTGCGGCGCCTCCTCGGAGCCCTGTGGAGTCGCCAGCCCCGCTGCCGCTCAGTTCGGTGGCTTTTTTGGAAACTTGCAAATGTTTTCGTAGAGGAGGGGAGGGGGGAGCGAGGGAGTGACCGAAACCGAGCTTGGGGCTTTGGAATAGTGGAGGCCAAAGCCGGGGAGCGCGGGGAGGGTGGGGGGATGGACGGTAGCTAAGGACCGACTGACAAGCAGACAGGCAGCCTCAGCGTCGGGGCAGCAGAAGCAGCTCCCGTGCGGCTCGGGCGCACGCGGCGCGGGTTCGGAGGATGGGAAAGGGGGTGCAGGGGGTGACCACCAAGGGCACGGGGGTCCAGACTGAGCCTGGGAGCCGGGCCACGATGCCGCGGGAGAGCCCGGAGCTGGCGGTAGGAACGCCGAAGGGTTCAGTGTCGTTGCAAAAGTCAGGATGGCATCCCCTAGTTGCACGCCCCGCGCAACTCAAAACGCGCCCCCTGCCCCGCCCCGACTCCCCTGTTGCCCACTGCCGCGGAGCTAAAAATAACAGCCTGGTCGCCCCCCGCAGACCGCGACCCCGACCCCTCCCCCGCCCTTCCCCCACTGGGCGTGGAGCGAAGCCACGGCTCCCAGTTCCCCCAAAGAAGGGGGGGGGGGAAAGACAGAGAGAAAGAAAGAAAGAAAAGGCGGCGCGGGAGGGGAGCGGGGGGCGGGCCGGGGGCGGGGGGCCCAGCCATATGGATGTGATTTCTCCGCTCCGAGGCAGACAGGCCGCTCAGCAGCGCTCGGCGCCCGCCCGCCGCCCGCCCGGCCTCAGGCTGCCTCCCTCCCTCCGCCCTCCCTCTCTCCTTTGCGCCGGTTCGTTCTCTTGCTCGCCCTCGGCGAATGGGCCCCGCGTCGGGCTCCGGGGCCTCGGGCCGCCCGGACGCCGGGGTCCCCTAGGCCGGGGCGTGGGCGGGGCGGCCCGGCCTGACGCAGCTCTGCACCCTCCAACCATCACCAGGGCCGGCGGCGGCTGCCCCGAGGGACGCGGCCCTAGGCGGTGGCGATGGGGGCCGCCCGGATCGCACCCAGCCTGGCGCTCCTACTCTGCTGCCCTGTGCTCAGCTCTGCTTATGCGCTGGTAAGTCTCTCTCGGTCCACACTCCAACACAGGACTCCTGGAGTTGCTTTAGGGTTCCTGGGACGAGTGTAGGCGCAAATTCTTGGGTTCTCCTAATAGTCTGAACTTTGGGATGGGACCTCCGCCCCCCCACCCCCCGCCATGAACCAGGAACCCTGGTGCCTGCTCTCTTTGGGGTGTCTTACCGTAGGTCCCAGATGCCTGAAGTTTCCCCACTTCTGAAGACTTGACTTGGGGTCCTGGCTCTGGAAACCTGTGGTTGGAGTTCCCCTACACCATGCTTCTGTGAGCATATGGCTCTGGTCGTATGTATCTTTTTCAGTGGTAACAGTGCGATTCAGGGAGTTCTGGGTGTGGAGTCTCACAGACTGCACTGAGGGGGCCTCGGTTTTCAAAAGTTTTGTTTGCACCCGGTGCTCAAAGCTGTGTGCAAGAAGTCAGAAATCACTTAGACTGAGGGTAGGATTTAGGGCCCTCTCCAATTCTCAAGATCCTACAGATGCGCAGATGTATGCACGAATGGGACCGCTTTACCCAAAGTGGAAGTCGGTTTGCCCAGAGAGGTGGGTGTGGTACGGAGGTCCTCCTGAAAGACACTAATCTCATAGTACACCTTGCAGAAGATATGTGCTGTGGGACATTCTTACGAGTGTGCTGATCTTTGGCGGGGTATTGTGCGTGGTCTGAGAGTGGACTCCAAGAGACAGAATAGTAGACATGGCTAGACAAAGAAAGGGGTTAGGATGAGAGCTCTGGACCCCAGCAGGGTGAGACTCAGGACAGCAGACAAATAGGGAGCTGGACCATGACCTCATCTTGGGCAAGGGTCTGGGAGCCATTTCTCAGAGAAGGGAGATTTTTCTGCCCTCTCATTCCCTTAGTGGTCCCATCCCAAGTGCCGAGCCTATCCCTGAATCAGCTTCTGTGACTGACTTTAAGGTCTTGTTGTCCCCGTACCCCAGTCCTGACCAAGGTCTAGAGAGACAGAGCAAGTAGCTTCCTTCACAGGACAGAGTCTCGTATTTGAAGATACAGGAGGTCTGGGACTCCTCCAGCTCAGCCTGCAGCTTGTGTGACCTTGGACTGTCTTTCTCCACACCTCAGTTGCCCATCTGTGACCTGAGAGCATGAGAGAAACATTTGCCGGACACCCTTGCTGTTTGATGTCCTCCTCCTGTTCCCATACCCTCAATTCTAGTCCAGCAAAGGACAACCAAAGCTAAAGACTGCCCCAGAAGGGAACTTGTCCACAGGGAAACAAGTTCGGAGGACCTGAGCTCGCTGTTCTGGAGACACGGGGAAGAGAGCTATTTGTTGAACTTCCCTCAGTGACTTCCCTCAGTGTACACATATATGTGCATGTGCTAGACTGGCTGATGGGTACAGTATCCTGAGTGTGTGCCTGACCGTTCGTCGGCATAAGGGTTTATGGGCGTCTGAGTCGGTCCGTAGGATTGTGTGTGCTCAGGTTCACGTGTACCCGAAGCTGTGGATCCGCACATGACTGAGGGGAGCACAGCTATATATGCATGTGTGTGCATGCACATGTGCACCCTGTGGGTGTGCACACAGGTCTATTGTTTGCTCATATCTATTCAACACATGCCTCTGAGTTTTCTGTTTGTCAGTCCGTTGTTCTAAGCACTTTATGAAGATCAGCTAGCTAAGTCTTACGCACAACCCTCTGAGAAAGGTACTTGCCCTCTTTTGTTTTTGTTATCTCTTCCAAATCCACCAATCACTATGGCTATCGGCTCTTATGATACCAAGTGACAAGCCCTGTACCTCATGTGTGGTGGAATGGAGCCCCTAGGGCCCCATAGTTCTCTGTAGGAAAGTTGACATATATGCAGAGAACTTCCTGGTTTAGAAGGGCCCTAAGCTGAAGGCAGAAAGACAGATGCCGGTGTGGCTCTACAGGGACCATGCCCCGACACTGGACCATCTCCTGCTTCAGGTCTAAGGGGTGTACAATCCAAGGAGCAGAAGTTAGGGGCAATAGTCCAAGTAGGTTTGGCCAACTCACCCACCAACCTTTGGGATCCCTGGGCTCAGCTGGAGTCAGCAAACAACTGGCAATCTGCTCGATCTCCTTCCTAAGCCTAGGGGTTCCTGCCCTGTCCAGATGTGTACAGGTACGGGCAAAGACCATTCACCTCAGCTGTCATCAAACTTACAGGCGACATGCTCAGCCAGGTCCAAGTCCAGGTTCATGTCTCCCATGACCTTGGTGGGGACAAAAGAACATCCTACTGGGGGAACACTGACCACAGGTGGACTCACTTGGTCCATCTGTCCTCACAAAGAGTAGCCTGGAGAGGGGCACAGGAGTGAAGTTTAGAGGAGGGGAAAGGCCCGAGGCTTATGAGCAGGCAAAAGGGAGTTCTTGTCCTCTGAGATTCCTTACCCTAAGAATTCTCTAGAGAACCCTCAGCTCTCATAAATGTGAAGAGGCTGTAGCAACAGAAGCTGATACTGGGCAGAGAGACGGGCCTGAGTGTGGGCTGG